CCTATAAGCCCTAAACCCTAAACTTGTACAGTCAAAAGGAGCCAAGCTTTAGGGTGCAGGCATCAGGCCCGGGATTCAGAAACCCTTTCTTTGAGGGCTTTAATAATTAGAATACTTGGAGCCCCTTTTGACTTAGTAAGTAGGGTTNNTTATGGGGATTATAATAGGGCTCCTGGGGGATACTAAGTAGACTTACTAAGTCAAAAGGGCCTCCAAGTAGGGTTCTAGGGGTTCCTGTAAAGGCTTCCTTAAAGGGCTTTATAAGGGCTACTATAAGGAGTGGGGATTTAGGGGTCTTAATGATTAGAATAGGGTTTTTTTGGGGTTCCTTATTATAATTATAGCTTAGTATACCCGAAACCCTATTGATTTTTTCAAGGCCCCTATATTATTGGTTAAAAACCTCATTTACCTTAAACTATACAAGGATCCCTAATATGAACTTAAAAGTATATAGGAGTTGATACCGTAAACTATACAAGGATCCCTAATGTAATGTAACAATATATTCCTTAACTACGGGAGTTTGGAAAGTCTTGGTAGGGTTGTAGAGTTCTTCGATGGGTTGAACTGAGCAATGTCAACCCATCAGAGACCCACCCACCTCGCTCCGAATGGGGTGTTGTCATCGTCGCGCATGCTTCCCCCAAAACGCGGAAGCAAACACGCAACGGCCTTACATCCCACTTCCTAGTCCTAATCACAACGGGCTGAGGCCCTACAGCCCTGACTCAAACCCCAAGAAAACTGGCCCGAGACCCGGAACTACGTAGTCAATGTACAGACGGGTATGGTCGCCTATGATGTCTTTAGGGTTTAGGGCGTTAGGGTTTAGGGTTGAGGGCTTGGTGTTTCGGGGTTTTGGACTGGGGTCCGTTGTGACCTAAAACTACCAAACGCGGGTGGCATCAACTATGCAGCGGTCATCCGACCATTAGCATGAAGGCGCCCAACATCTTCCTTTAACAACGACGTGATATGCCCTGAAGGCGACAGGTCTTTTGAACCTGAACCCTGAACCTATGGTTGAGCCCTGAAGCCCTTAACATCGCCCTTGAGGATCTTATTTTCTTTCGTTGAGCACCCGGTCCACTCTTGGCAAGACTTCCCGGCCCTGACTGACTGGGCAATTGTCCAAGAAGTCATGTCCCGATATCGTTGGGCGATGTGCCTCAGCAGAGCGAGTCCTTTCCAGTCTTGTTTTCTCTGCGGTGGTTGCAGGGTTTCTGCAGTGTTGGGCCCACAGCGGCTGGGGCTTAAGAAGACAAGCCTCAACGCTAAACCCCCTTAGACTAAACAGACTAAGCACGAAACTAAAATCATAAAGCAAAACCTTCTTGAACTTCAAGCGCTCAAGCACAACTTGGCTCATCATGACTCATAGGACCTTAACCCGAAACCCTAAAACCCGTTTTTGAGTGTGCGCCCGAAAGGGTGGCCTGCAGCGGAGAGAAAGGGTCATCACACTTTAACAACAAACCTAAGCCGGAGATGATGCGTCTTTCCATGTGCTTGCTCGGGCGCCTTTCGAGCACAACGTCGATGCCTAAATACAGCTGATGATATAAATCCTGCATTACCCATACTAAGGAATATACCATGATTACCGTAGTCTAAGTTTTGTTTGAGGCTGCAATAATACGCAAACCAAGGAATATATGCCATGGCTACAGACGTAGTCTAGGGTTCTTAAGGTAATGCAGGATTTAGGGTTTAGGGTTTAGAGTTTAGGGTTTAGATCATCAGCAGTAGCTTCGTTAAGTCCTTGCAGCGCTCTGAAACCTCGGGCCGTGAACCCGCGGGGCTTCTGAAGTTCCAAAATCCGGAATACAAAAAGGGCATCTATACCCATACGCCCCATAGTAGTTCCTTTTTGGGGTTCATATTTAGAATCTAATAAGGTAATCCCCAAAAGGAACTACTATGGGGCCTATGGGTAGTTCCAAAACCCGAAATAAAATAAGGCATCTATAGCTTCTATTGCAACTCTCTTTCTGGGGTTATATAACCACGTTTATGTTTAGAATCCTACAAGGTACCCCCCCAACAAAGGAACTGCAATGGAAACTATCGGTAGAGCCTCAACTCGCAACCACCCTAAATCCTGAAGCCTAAACCCTAAACCCGACACCCTAAACCCTAAACCCTAAACCCTAAACCCTAAACCCGAAACCTCAACTCGCAACCCTTTCGCAGCCTAAGGCTCCCGGTCGTCATCTCGGGCGTCTTCGCCTTCGTATACAACTGCTTGCAGTACACCTTAGTGCGGCTGCGGCTTTCAAACTTTAGGGGTTTATAACGACTTAGGGCCTAGGGTCTATAGCGTGACTGTCTGCGGCTTTCAATCGGCACTCTTGGATTTAGGGTTTAGGCTTTAGTCGTTGAGGGTTCATATTACCCTAAACTCTAAACCCTAAACCGTTGATATTGGCTTAAGTTTAAGGTCTATAGTGTTCTTATGTACTTAGGACATTTAGGGTCCGTTTAGCGCTGGGCTTTCTCTAGCATACAGAGGTAGTAGTAGTAGTAGTAGTAGTAGTAGTAGTAGTCGTCGTCGTCGTCGTAGTAGTAGTAGTAGTAGTAGAGTTATATATATATATATACATACACATAATGTATGTACATATATATATATATATACATACACATGTGTGTCCTATATATATATATATATATCTATGCATGCATATACTTATTTTTTTAGTAGAACAGAGGAGCTCTCATTTGATAAGGTTTTCGAAAGTTCAACATGCTCAACATGCACCGAGTCAAGTTGCTAACGTATTGGATATTTTAGATATTTACGTGGGCCCACCCAACTAATTTGTCAAACAGTGTTAAGATTTGGCTGCGATGCATATTACTTATATACTCAGAGCACAAGACAGTCCAGGCAAGAGCTGTCTGCAACGCACGCCGCCTTCGCAGGAAGTCTTTTGTCTTGCAATGGCTGGGGTATGCTGGGGTTCTATCCTAAGTACTTGACCCTGCCCAGCTATATGGATGGATCTACTCCATTCCATCTCTTCCATCTATCACTGTGACTGTCTCTCTCTGGCTCTCCCACTCTCCCTCTCTCTCCCCCGTCTTTTTTCTATCTAGCTGTCTTTGTCTATGTGCATGGATACAGATGCAGATCTTGCCAGCGCTCTCGGTAATCAGGTGTACACTTGCACTGTGATACCCATCATCATCTTAATTATATTCTCAGTGTTGCAATGTCAGAGTCTTTCGATGATCGAGCAACAAGTTGCAGCAGGTTCCAGCAGCTTTAGATGCCTCCTTGAGAAACATGCAGGCGTTTGCTGCAGAGATATGTCTAACATGCTATACGGTATAGCAAGGAGCCTTGCATCAGCTCGTGGCGTCCCATGTTCGGAGCCCCCACGCTTTCCCCTTATTATGATTATAGTCTACTTTACCCCAAAACCCTATTCTAACTATTGAGGCACCCAATATTAGGGCTTCGTCAGGCTTCAACATGGCCGCGACCATCGCCTTTTCCTTATGTCTCGGCTACGAGGAAATTCCAGATGGATGGCACGGGCACCTGTTTCTGCTTGCCATTGCTGGCAACATCGCAGCTTTCACTGCCTTCAACGTACTCAGGAGTAGTGGCACATGAACCCAGACAGCCCAATGCCAGGTAAAGGAGCGATGTACGGCAAAACATATCGAGTTGCTTGCGCAGGGTGAATAGGGCTATCCAGCAAATGGGAGTGCGGCCAAAGTTGCTGCAACCCAAGATTGTCGTAGCTCGGTGGGTCTCGCTTTCTGCCATCGCTACTCAAGGAAAAGAAACCTCAACCAAGAGAGGCCATGGAGGCAAACACGCCCTGCATGCAGAGTACTGGATCAACACAAACACAAGAGTTTTCATGAGGTACTGATGTCTAGGGTTTTATAACTCCTTACATATGAGACTCGCCTAGCTGTAGAGGGATCCAGACCAATGGGTCTTGGCTAGCGCGAGAAACTTGGACCCTCCCCCCACCCTAGGTCCCAAACCCTAAAACCCGAAAATCCTGAACCCCTAAACCCCCCTAAAACCCCCCAGAAACGCCCGAAATCCTGAAGCCCGGCTTCGGTGGTTAGCTTCGGTGGTTTTGGGGTGTGGGGTTCAGGCCCAAAGGCATGAGAACTTGACACCCAAGACCAGCAGGTGCCTGGGTTTGGGATTTAAGGGTTTAGGGCTTAGGGTTTAGGGGTATTACAGTAGACTTTGCTGAGTAGCCCTAAGCCCTAAACCCTAAACCCTAAGCCCAAAGATCATATACTTACAGTAAGGAACCCTGAGGAATAGCCAATTCTTCGGGCTTCTAGAGTAGATGCAAAGAAAGCCCGCACAGACTCAAACTGAGGTTTCTATTGTAGTATCTCCAACAGGACCCCCAAGGATACACCCTAAACTTTAGTGGAGAATCCAGCAACAGCATACGTTTTCCAAAATGAATTATTTTTGTGCCAAAAATGCGTTTGAAATGCGATTGGAAATTGCACCTGGATTTCAAAATGCGAAAAAAATGCGTTTCGTCAATCTTGTGAAAATGCTCCGAAAATGCGAAAAAATGCACTATTAACTTTCGGTGCTTTTTGGGAGCAATTTCTGCGCAATTTCTGGCTGACCTCTACAGCTGCGGAGCAAGCTAGAAAAGCAGGAAAAATGCACTCGAATTGCTCCAACAATGCTCCAAAAATGCTTCAAAAATGCGTTTACCCTCAAAAAATGCTCCAAAAATGCGTTTACATCCAAAAATGCTCCAAAAATGCTCCA